GGAAAAAATGAGAGTTTATGGCCTTTGGAAGAAGGGGCAGGCAACTCAGGACTGCAAGGATGTGGTGTTGTTACACAGGGAGGAAATTGGAAGGGCTAGAGCCCAACTAGAACTTAATCTGGCTACTGCCATAAAAGACAATAAAAATATGTTCTATAAATACATCAGTGATAACAAGAGAGTTAAGGAAAATCTCCATCCTCTATTGGATGTGGAGGGAAACAGTGACAAAGGATGAGGAAAAGTCTGAGGTACCTATTGCTGCCTTTGCCTCAGCCTTTAATAGTAAGACCGGTTGTTCTCTGGTACCCAGCCCCCTGAGCTGGAAAACGGGGTTAGGAAGGAACACAAAGCTCCCGTAATCCATGTGGAAATGATTAGAAACCTGCTACAGTACTTAAACACACACAGGTCTATGGGGCTGGATGGGATCCACCCAAGAGTACTGAGGGAGGTGGTGGAAGTGCTCCCCAAGTCACATTCAATGATTTATCAGCAGTCCTGGTGAACTGGGGAGGTCCCAGTAGACTGGAAGTTAACAGATGTGACACACATCTACAAGAAGGGCTGGAAGGAGGGTCTGTGGAACTACAGGCCTGTCAGTCTGACCTTAGTGCCAGGGTTGGTTATGGAGCAGATCGTCTTGAGTGCCATCATGTGGCACGTATTGGACAACCAGGTGATAAGGCCCAGCCAGCATCAGTTTATGAAAGGTACATTCTTCTTGACTAAGCTGATTTCTTTCTGAGACAAGATGACCTGCTTAGTGGTCGAGGGAAAGGCTGTGGATGTTGTCTACCTAGACTTTAGTAAATCTTTTGACACCACTTCCCACAGCATTCACCTGCAGAAAATGGCTGCTTGTGGCTTGGACTGGTATATTCTTCGCTGGGTAAAAAACTGGCTGGGTGGCCGGGCCCAAAGAGTGGTGGTGAATGGAGTTAAATCCAGTTGTCAGCTGGTTAGAAGTGGTGTTCCCCAGGGCTCAGTACTGGGGCCAGTTCTGTTTAATGTCTTTACCAGTGGTGTGGGAAAGGGGTTCAGATGCACCTTCAGTAAGTTTGCAGACGGTGACAAGTTGGGTGGGAGTGTAGATCTGCTTGAAGTCAGGAAGGCTCTACACAGGGATCTGGACAGGCTGGATTGATGGACGGGGGCCGTTTGTGTGAGGTTCAACAAGGCTCAGTGCCGGGTCCTGCACTTGGATCACAACAACCCCCGCGCAGTGCCACAGGCTTGGGGCAGAGTGCCTGGAAATCTGCTCAGTGGAAGAGGACCTGGGGGTGTTGGTGAACAGCCGGATGAATATGAGTGGGCAGTGTGCCCAGGTGGCCAAGGAGGCCGATGGCACCCTGGCTTGTGTCAGGATCAGTGTGGCCAGCAGGCCTAGGGCAGGGATCGTCCCCCTGTACTCGGCACTGGTGAGGCTGCACCTCAAATCCTGTGTTCAGTTTTGTGCCCCTCACTGCAGGAAAGACACTGAGGTGCTGGAGCATGTCCAGAGAAGGGCAACAAAGCTGGTGAAGGGTCTGGAGCACAAGTCTTACAAGGAGCAGCTGAGGGAACTGGGGGTTTTTAGCCTGGAGAAAAGGAGGCTCTCTGCAACTGCCTGAAAGGAGGATGTAACAAGGTGGGGGTCAGTCTGTTCTCACAGGTGTCAAGTGATAGGATGAGGAAATGGCCTCAAGTTGCTTCGGAGGAGGTTTAGATTGGATATTATAAATGATCTCTTCACCACAAGGGTTATTAAGCATTGGAACAGGCTGCCCAGGAAAGTGGTTGAGTTGCTGTCTCTGGAGGTATTTAAAAGGCATGTAGATGTGATGCACAGGGACACAGCTAAGTGTTAGACTTGGCAGTGCAAAGTTAACATCTGGAGTTGATGATCATAAAGGTCCTTTGCAACGTAAATGATTCTGTGATTCTATTATTCTGTCTTAAACTCATTAATTCTGAGAGATCATGGACTTGCAAGGAGGTCTTAAACAGCACAAATGATTTTCCAGTTTGAGTGCCTAAAGTTAACATACAATAACTGAATCATAGAATGGTTTGGGTTGGAAGACACCTTAAAGATCATCCAGTTCCAACCCCCATGCCATGGGCAGGAACACCTTCCACAACACCAGGTTGCTCCAAGCCCCATCCAACCTGGCCTTGAACCCTTCCAGGGAGGGGGAAGCCACAGCTTCTCTGGGCACCCTGGGCCAGTGTCTCACCACAAGACCAGTGAGAATCTCACAGGAAATAAATTCTTCCTTATATCTAACCTAAATCTACGCTCTTTCAGTTTAAAACTGTTACCCCTTGGCCTGTTCCCACTCCCCCTGATAAAGAGTCCCTCCCCATCTTCCCTGTCCCCCCTTTAAGCCCTGGGAGGCCACTCGAAGGTCTCCCCGGAGCCTTCTCTTCTCCAGGCTGAACCCCCCCAACTCTCTCAGCCTGGCCTCCCAGGAGAGCTGCTCCAGCCCCCTGATCAACTTCACAGCCTCCTCTGGACCCGCTCATCAGGTCCATGTCCTTTTTATGCTGGGGGCTCCAGAGCTGGACCCAGCACTGCAGAGAGAGTCTCACCAAAGTGGAGTAGTGGGGGAGAATCCCCTCCCTTGACCTGCTGGCCACACTTCTCTTGATGTATCCTAGGATACGGTTGGCTTTCTGGGCTACAAGTTCACATTGCTGGATCATACTCAGTTTTTCATCTACTAGTACCCTGAAGTCCTTCTCCTCACAGCTGCTCCTTATCCACTCTTTGCCCAGCTTGTATTCGTGCTTGCTATTGCCTTGACCTATGTGCAGGACCTTGCACTTGGCCTTGTTGAACTTGATGAGGTTTGCACAGGCCCACCTCTCAAGCCTGCCAGTTGGAAGGTAATTATTTAGTCCAACTAAATCATTTAGTCCAACTGCCTGACCAGTTCAGAGCTGACCAGGTTATAGCATGTTGTTAGGGCAATGTCCAAATGCCTCTTAAACACTGACAGGCTTGGGGCACCATGTTAGGGAGTCCAGGGAGTCTTAAAGTTTCAGTGATTCCCTCAAGTTAAATTAAGGTGAAACAACACCAGACGACTGGTTAAAATGTTTTACTTGCAGTAAAAATGACTTAAACTTGGAGAAGGATAGTAAGCAATGAGTTCTCCTATTGACAAATCTATAAAGGAAAGGAGAAGAAAGAGACCAGTCACCATCTCAGGTCTGGTAATCTGGGGTGATGGGTGCACACAGTGCAAAATTTTCTGTTGCCTTTTAAGTTCATCGTATCAGCTGATTAGCATACTAGGCAAAGGGAGGCAGGTATTCCAGGACTCATTTCTGTGAGAGACAAGGTGGTCTTGCTCCCTCCTACCGCCTTCTTCCTCAGGTTTTTACTTCTTAGGTAATTGTCCAGTCTTTAGCTTATCAGTCTTTTTGGCCTAAACATACAGTTTCCTTTGAGACTTTTCTAAGGAATTTGGCACTACATCATCAAGAAAGTGGAGCCCTGCATCCTTCAGTACACTCCCTCATTCCTTGGGCAGCATTCTCTAGACTAATCCCAAAGGCCACAACTTTTCCTTGAGGGTTTCTGTGTTGGGGAATGTTTGAGGCATTGGTTCCTTCAATTCCTTACACATGGATCACCTCTTTAAGAACTTTGTTCTAGTGTTTGACCATCTTCTCTGTAAAGAAATGCTTCCTAATGTCCAGTCTGAACCTTCCCTGGTTCAGCTTTGAACCATTGTTACGATTTTTTAATTTTCTTTCAGAAAGAATCTGAATGCTTGCCATTCCTATGTGCAGATGTTGGTATACAGCCAGCACATTAGAAAACTTAAATTATGTTTTGATATCTCTAGTACTTCCTCAGATCTGCGTATCAGATTATTTAAACTCATTCAAAATGCTTATTTATGCATCCGCCTGTCATAAATATTATGAGGGATAAAGCAATTCTGCAAAACTTACTTGGCTCCTGTAAAGCAAAGTCTTTTTTTTTTTTTTTTTTCTGCTAAAGATCTGTTTAAGCTCTTGCCAGTTCTGTGTGCAGAGATTTTTTTTGAGTATTACTGAAGGAATGTCTGTGGTAACAGCACTTGTGAGATGTTGCCATCTGGAGCAGTCCTGAACAATTGCCATGGATTTAGTTGGAATTCACAGAAAGTCATCCAGTGCACCTTTGTAAATATTCATGGGTCAAGGCTCTGCCAAGTCTGAAATAGAAAAACATAGATGTTGCTGTATTCTTAATTATAATGCATTAAACTTTTAATTCATATATAAATTGTGAGTACTAAGCAAAATGTGTTATTGGTGTAATAGTTAAAATATGTTGCTGTCAAAAATAAAAACAATGTCAGTAGTAGCAGTGTCTCCAACCAACTGTTCATGGATGGTGGATATAATCAAAAGTTAATGAAATTCTCACCTACCATATAAAGGTCAGTTTTGACAGGGTTGATTTGCTCACTCCTTCCTCTGATTCTGTATTTTTTACTTAATTGCCTTACAGTATCTGAAAGACAGTGTTATCTGAAAATAAGTTTAGTATAAGGAAGTGTTGCATACTTTCAGAAATGTTTAGGTTCATCCAGACTCTTCCAGCTGTGTATTTAACATGCAGTGTTGCGTTTTTTTTTTCAAATGGCATTTCATTCTTGTTTAGTGAGTGTTGAGTATTTTCTCTTTTTCTCATAGCATTTTAGTTCTGGTTTAGCTCTTACATCCAGGTACTTCTCTTGTAGTTTCTCTCTCAAGCTTTGAAATTACTGGTTGGGGTGATGAGGTGTAGGAGGCTGTTTCTAGCTTTTTAAAATACTCATGAAACAGTTAAAAACAGGCTTTTTACATAATGTTGTAGATTTCCAGTAATCTGCTGTAACTTAGAAGTAAAAGAGAGATTCTCTACTGAATTTTCATAACTGCAATCACTACATCTGCTACTGCATACTTCAGATAGAATAGTGTGTATTTAAACTGTTGCATTTAATGTATTTTTGTCATCTCTGCCACAATTCCAGGTTCAGGACAAGTTTCGTTTGGACCTGTCTGATGAAGAAGCTGTCCATTATATGCAGAGTCTAATTGATGAAAGTGTCCATGCCCTCTTTGCAGCTGTGGTGGAGCAGATACACAAGTTTGCACAGGTGAGATTTCTTTTCAGTTGGTGGTTTCTGTAAAAGCTGAGTGAGATGAGATGTTGTGAGTGGTAAGTTCAAGGCTTAGCATAATTGTTTATGATGTTTTAGTTCATTTTCCAATGAGTTAAAAGTGTGTTCTTGCTGCCAGTACTGGAGAGGAAGCTCTTAGTGATTCTAGAAGAAAATTTAAAGCACCTTAGCAAACATACTAAGTGAGATGTAATGTCAGATTTGGGGCTGTAGGGTTGGCTGAGACCTGTTGCTGGGAACTGACTGCTTGCAGGGGATGTGCAATGGTGGAGTGTCTGCATCACCAAGTAAAGGAGCTGTGTGAGGAGGTCAGCAAACTACACAGTATTGAGGCTGACAAGAACAAGATTTACCAGATCTTCCTCAAGGCCTTGGAGATAGAAGAGCCTGAACCTCCAGCTGCACTGAAGGAGGAGCAAGAATACATTGTGCTCACTAAGTTAGGAAATGGAGACTCCCAGGATGGTGATGGCTGGAACCTTGAGACTGCTCGTTACAGGAGCAGTGGCTTCTTCTTTACCTGCAGATCTGCAGAATAGATTCAAGGTGATTGGGAGTAGTCAGGGTGGATTTACAAAAGGGAAATCACACCTGACCAGCCTGGTAACCACTTAAGATAAAATGCCTAGTTTGGTGAACTGAGTGAGAACTGTAGGTATTTTTTAATTTGATTTTTGCAAGGTTTTGACACTGTCTTCCTTAATAGCCTCATAAACAAACCAGAGCAATGTTTACCAGAGAACTAGACAGTCATGTGGAATGGAAACTGGATGGTGTGCTGGGACTAGAAGGTTGTGATTAGTGGCACAAATTCCATCTGGAGGCCAGTCACTAGTGGTGTACTCCAAGAGCTGATACTAAGGCCAGAATTGTTTAATGTCTTCATTAATGACCTGGATGATGGGATGAAGTGCACCCTCAGCAAGTATGCAGACAATACAAAACTGGGAGGAGTAGCTGATACACCAGAAGCATGTGCTGCCATTCACAGGGACCTTGACAGGCTGGAGAAATGACCACACAGGAATCTCATGAAGTTGAAATGCCACGTACTGCACCTGGTAGGAAATAATTACATGCTTGAGCATGAGCAAGGGAGTCATGTGATGATGTGGGAAGCAGGTGTTCAGAGAAAGCCCTGAAGGTTCTGTTGGACAAATTGCACATGATGCTGAAATCTAGTAGTGGTCAACAGCTCAACATCTGGATGTAGGACAGTGATGATTGGTGTCCCTCAGGGGTCCGTAATGGAAACAGTGCTGTTTAATATCTTCATCAGTAGCATAGACAGTGGGATCAACTGCACATTCTACCGGTTTGCAGGCAACAGCAAGCTGAATTGGTGCAGTTGACGTGCCTGGGGGACTGAGTGCCATCCTGAAGGACCTCGATAAGCTCAAGACATGGGCCCCTGTGAATGTCATGAGGTTCAACAAGACCAAGTGCAAGGTCCTGCATCTGGTCAGGGCAACTACTGGTGTCAATACAGGCTGGGGGATGAAGGGATTGAGAGCATGAGGAGAAGGACTTGGGGGTACTGGGTGAAAAACTGAACATGAGCCAGCAGTGTTCACTCACAGCCCAGAAAGCCAACTGTACCCTGGGCTGCATCAAAAGAAGAGTGGCTAGCAGGCTGAGCGAAATGATTCTGCCACTCTACTCCATTTTGGTGACACTCCACGTGCAGTACTGTGTCCAGCTCTGGAGCTCTCAGTTCAGGAAAGACACGGACCTGTTGGAGCAGGTCCAGGGAAGGGACACAAAAATGATCAGAGAGCTGGAACACCTTTCTTTTGAAGAAAGGTCGAGAGAGTTGGGGTTGTTCAGCCTGGAGAAGAAAACACTCCAGGGAGACCTTATAGCAGCCTTCCAGTACTTAGAGAGGGTACAGAAAAGGTGGGGAGGGACTCAATCAGGGGGTGTGGGGATAGGACAAGAGGTAACAGTTTTAAACTGAAAGAGGGTAGATTTAGGTTAGATATAAGGAAGAAACTCTTTACTATGAGGGTGGTGAGACACTGTCACAGGTTGCCCAGAGAAGCTGTGGGTGCCCCTTCCCTGAAAGGGTTCCAGGCCAGGTTGGACGCGGTCTTTGAATACTTAAAGAGGACTTATAAGAAAGACGGGGAGGGACTTTTTAGTAGGGCCTGTAGCAATAGGACAAGGAGTGATTGTTTTAAACTAAAAAAGGATAGATTCAGACTGGGTATAAGGAAGACATTTTTTACGAGGAGGGTGGTGAAACACCGGGACAGGTTGCCCAGAGAGGTTGTAGATGCCCCGTCCCTGGCAACATTCAAGGCCATGTTGGATGGGGCTCTGAGCAACTTCATCTAGTTGAAGATGTTGCTGCTTACTGCAGGGGGGGTGGACTAGATGACCTTTAAAGGTCCCTTCCAACCCAAACTATTCTGTGATTCTATGCAGCAGTATGATCGCATGACGAAGAAGAGCCACCAGCTTCCTTGACCACATTACCCAGTGTTGCTGGCAGGTGGAGGGAGCTGATCATTCCCCTCTACCAGTGCTCTGTGAGATGCATCTGTAGTACCATGCCCCTTTTGGGCTCCCCAGTACAGGAGAGACATGGACATGCTGGAGTGGGTCCAGCAAAAGGCCATGAAGGTGGTAAGGCACTTGGAGCATCTGTCATACGAGGAGAGGCTGAGAGAGCTGGGACTGTTCAGCCTGGAGGAGACTCAGGGGTGTTCTCACCAAGGTGTGTAAATACCTGATGGAAAGGTGTAAAGAAGATGGAGTCAGACTCTTTTCTGTGTGCCCAGTGATAGGACAAGAGACAACGGGGACAAACTGAAAGATGGGAAATTTAATGTAAACATACAGAATTTTCTTTTTTTTACTGTGAGGGTAATCAAACACTGGGACAGGTTTCCCAGAAAGGTGGCAGAGTCTCCATCCGTGGAGATACTTAAAATCCAACAGCACAATGTCCTGAGCAACCTCTCGAATTTGATGCTGCTTGAGCAGGGGGGTTGGACTAAATCATTTCCAGAGGTCCCATCCATCCTCATGCATTATGTGATTCTGGGGTGGCAATAAATAGTCTTTACTATTTTTATTATTAAAATCTATCCTTACTCGTATGAGGAAAGAAATGTTTGACCACACAGTGCTGTCTTACTACAAGCCCCACAGTAAGACAATAAAATGTTTAATTCTCATGTTGAATAAAGCTGTGTTCAGCTTGAATATACAATGTTTTTTCCCCAAAACCATCTGACATATTTAGTTTGTGTTTATCAGGGATTTAGGATATTACACTCTTTGCCCTAAGTACTAGGCTTATAACAAGGAAAGTAATATAGAGGAAAAATGAAACTGATCGGAAAAGCCAGTCATTATCCCAGGTTTTTTTATTGATTCTTTCTTCAGAAGACTGATCAAATTCTGATAAAAACTGAGGAGAACTATTTTTATGGCTATCCATTTTGCTAGAGGTCTTCCAACTAATCACCTGTTTCCTGCAAACTTAATTTTTATTTTGAAGAATTGCACTATAGTGCAGGGTGAGAAGCAAAAATGTCATTTCCATCTGCATATATATTTAATCAGGGTGGTCTCTTACTTGATATTAAAAAAAGGAATGTAATTACATGAAAATGTTGCAAAATTTGTTGTCATTCAGTATGGATTGCTGTAGTCATAGGATGGAGGATCATAATTTCAAAGGAGAAAGTGAAAAATGCCTAGCATCTACCTTGGGATTCAAAAAAAAAAAAGGAAAAGCCATTACAAAGATTCAAGATTAAAGTCTTAAATGCCTCCAATATGTATGTAAACTTTCTTTTAATCATATACTGACAGTCACGTTTTTAAAGATGCATCTTCTTACTTCATTGGTTTTAGATGACTGCCAGAATCTCCCAGATAATTGTTACTGCATTTGTGAAGCTGTATTAGTAAGTCAGAGTTTACAGGTTTGATATACATGACCTTTTCTTCTTCTATTCAGACCAGGTTTTGCTTGACCTTTCTTCAGCACTTACAACTGCTTTTAAAATCACAGGACAGATCTGTTCAGAATATTTGAAAGTACCCAAGAATTTCAACCCCAGGCTTCTAGCTCTCAGGGATGGTGCTCTAAGCAACAGGCTGATCCATACAGCTGCAGGCACTGATTACATCTTCCATTCATATTTTTGGGACTTAAAAAGCAAGCCCACATCACATACGGCATTTTGGATGCCATATAAGTAGATGTGACAGCCAGTGAGGCAGACCTGATCCATTTGTCTCATTTTGGGGTCTTTACCTCTCTAGCTGGCTGATGCTGAGTTCCAGCATGGAGACTTTGGGACTGTTTTTCCTGAAGCCCTGAACTCTCCTCCTGCACTGCTGCAGAGTTTGCTACCTGTGTGCTTTTAGCTTCCCGTTCTACTTTTGGTATAGGGTGCCTAAAATAAAAATAATCGTATGTTGCTTTGTAAATGACTAAGGAATCGTTTTGTTCCATGTGATGTAGAATTCTTCTAGCTTTGGAGTTCAGATTATTGGATTCATTCATGTTCTACAAACAATTAAACTTGCAGGCTTCCCCCCCTGCAAGAATATTGGATGCTTACAGGTGTGAGGAGGATACAAAAAGGAATAGTCACACATTAAACCACAGTTGACAAGCCTTAAGAATCTGATCTCTTGTTTACGAAAGTTTTTAAAAACTTATCAAAAAAATCCATCAAAATGAAATGTAATTAATGTCTATTCTCTTTATTTTACAAGTGAGATAGGACAGTTTTTAGTGAAATTTAGTACTTCATTAGTCAAAATCATTGTCTTTCCTTTTTGTTTGAGGTGGTCTTAAGAATTTTCTGCTGATGTCTTCACAGAGCCTGTAAATCGTTGAACAAATGAACAATTAATATGTCATTGAATTTACTATAAAAGGGGTCATCTTACACAATGGCAAATTGAAGCTTTCAATTTGTTCATGTATAATGCTGCACTGAATTGCCAATGGCCTTGCTCTTAATAGTAATAGAAGTTGTCAAAAAAAAAGAAAAAGCAACACTACACAGGTATTAAGACACATGCTTAAACATCAGATTTTGGCCTAACACAGTTTTTCATTTAACATGCCCTTCAACGTGTTTTTTTTTGTTTGTCAATAGTTATTTATTCTCTTGATGCCTCCAGAATAGGCCTACAAGGAATCAGTGCTGTCTACTTCAACAATTAAGAGCTTTTTAATAAAGTTGGCTATTATAGTACCCATTGTGTATCAGCATTCAATATGTCACTCTGTAGTAAGTAAAGCTCTTGGATAAAGCAGTATAGATATTTTGGCATCAGTTTGGTTTTGTTCATTTGCAACAGTACCATAAATTGAGTTCAATTAAGAGCTGTGTTCTGAAGCCTTTAGTTTTGTTTTAATATGGTCTCTATTATCAGATATTTTACAGATATTTTTATGTAGCACTTGTCTCCTTCTTAATGGTTATCAAAAAACTGTTGTCTCAAAAGTAAATAAATTTAACATTTAGAATAAGCTAATGGTGTTGTACAATAGTGCTCAAGAGGAGAAAAGGTACATACTAATTTTAGTTGATACTAATGAAGACTGGATAGCCATTTCTCCCTGGAGAGTCATTTTCATTTTAGCAGCATTATTTATTTCTGCAGAGGAAGGAAACAATCTCCAGTTGAAGTGACTAATTTCACATTTTATTTGCCTTGTAAATTTACAAGTCATCAGTTGCATTCATGTTAAGCAGTGATTAAAAAAGTGAAAGCTTGGGGGATAAGGGGTGTCCCACCTAAAATGTAACTGTACAATTTGGGGTTTTACTAATGCTTGGCTGCTCTCTGCTTAGGAGCAAACTCTCTTTAAGCTCTAAATGTTACATGGCTTTAGAATATTTCCAAGCTGTAGCCCCAGTGCTGCTGCAGCCCAGCAGGCAGCTGTGGTTCCTTTCCCTCAGGACAGGGCTTCTGTTTTCTTCCTATTGGATGTCAGAATAAAATAGGGATCGTCTGCCAGCAGAATTATGTAGATGAGGTGAAAGTATTTGTCAGCAGATAGAATCGGTTTTCATGCTGTTTGTTCTCCTGAAGGGCTGCAGAAATCACCCACCTTTATACATTTCACCATGTTTTTAAACACAGAGTTCAGTTTATGCATAACTTTTATTGTTTGAGATTAAACCGTTGAGTAAATGCTGTGCTATGTGGTTTTTGTTTCCTTTCAGTATTGGAGAAAATAAGCCTTTTGCGTACCTGTGGTGGAAACAAGCAAATGCTCAAGAAAGAGACTTTCTCAAGCCCATGTGGACTTCACCAAACAGTTTTGGAAGGCAAAAGCTGCAGGTTTGGTAGCATGGAGAATTGAGAGCTCAGGAGGTAGAGCTTTTTGAGTCTGTTTAGAAACAACCATTTTTTAAATGAGAATGGTTGCTTATGCCATCCTTGGGGCTCAGATGCTATAGCATTTTCCACTGAAAACATTTGATTCTCAGAGGTTGAAGTAAGCAACTTCTTCTCAAGCCAAAGATAACTGGAAGAGGCTGGATTTGATGGTAAATTCTTGTACCTATTAATATATTTTCTTATTTAAAATAGAGGTCATTACTGTACTGAACACAAGTATATGCAAAGTTACAGCATTGAGGCTACAGTTCCTTGGTGCAGAAAAAACACAAAGCTATGGCAATCCCCTCTCTTCCCTTCCCATCAACTTTATTCCTTGAATAGGTTTTAGGTGTAATTTATGTGATCGTTTTTGTGGTAGGTTTTAGGTGTAATTTGTATGATCGCAGCTAATTAAATCATCACAAACAGGCTTAGCAACTGAAATGCACAGTGAGCAGTTCAGTATTTCATGCTTTAACTCTGAATGTTTTCTGTACAGTGATTATATATTCTTGACTAATAAACTCTTTGTTTTTGCAGTTCTGAGGTGTTCTGTCTTTTTAATCTTACCTGCTGAGACATGGCATACTAGAGGATTATGTTCATAACTCTTGGCTTTTTGCAAGTATTTTTTACTTCTCAGTTCACTTGATGCAGGAATAAAGACGCTCATAAAATAACTTTTGTGCCACATGTTGAGTTCATAACGAATCTGTTTGTAATGATCTACAGTGTAATTAGCTCTTCATAAACGTGTGGATCTCTTCAAAGAGTACTCTTACACTCCTGTATTTTTTTTAATAACAATTTAAGTCAGGAAGAAATCTCTCCCAGTTACAAAGATAAGAACTGATTTGAATCTGAATCTGATATTTGTGAGTCAGTGTTCTTTGTGCTTCTCTTGCTAGCAAACATCAGAAGAGCTTTGATGGAGGAAGATCCACTAGGGATATGATAGAGCCTTAGTTATTTCAGCTTATTACCCAAATTTGCTAGTTAAGCACAACATTGGTTCATCCCCTCTTTTCCCCTGTATTTGTGACTTAGAGGAACTGTAGTACCCTAGTTATTTAGTATTTGTCTTACCTGGCAAAACACAGTGCCAGAGAGGAGCAACAGTAGTACCTCTTACCTTTAGCTGACTCTTTGAGAAGTAGTAATTACCATTTTCTTGGGATTGTTTTTTGGTCTTGCTTCATATGGCAGAAATACATATTTCTCTACTGCCTTCATTTTCCATTAACTCATTCTGCATGTAGTACTTGGTGTTATCTTCCAAGGATATTTCTGAGAGCATGGCCTTTTCAGACATTTCTGCAAAAAAAAAAAGTGTTTGTTTTTTTTTTTTTTCTTTGTTTTTTTTTTTTCTTTGTTTTTTTTTTTTCTTTTTTTGAAGGGACATCCTACATGCTTACACAACTGATTTGTATGATGTAGCCACAATTTATTTGACTAAGTTCTTGACACCTGATCCCCAGCCCTTTCCACTGTATATATTCTGGGATTTTCCCTCTATTTCCTTTGAAATACACTTCCCCTTTCCCCTGCTCAAGACTAATTATGAAGGATGTGGGCACGAGCCATACGGTACCAGCAGACCAGACAGGCCAAGAATGACTTCTTGTTAAAACCCAAAAGATACCATCAACCTGATCCTAGAGCATGTTCTACTTTGCAGACAGGTTTATAAAGTGTTAAATACAACTTTTGTAAATACATTGCATATTACTACATGGTTATTCACTGTGTCTTGTGGTTTAAAATTAATAACCTGTTCCTATGCTGGAACATCTTAGGAAGACCCTGACTCCACTGTAAATCACTGACCACTTTATAAATGGAGAACATCAGGCACAGAAATGGAAAAGCTTGCCTGAGTCAGTGGAACATAATCCAGCCTGTGTGTTCATCTGTGTTCCTGCTTGGTGAGTGACACTGCGTATATTTTCAGTGTATTTTCCAAAGAGTTTTGTAAAACATGTAACAACTGAGCACTGACAAACTAACTGGGTATGTCTCTGATCCAAGCAGTCACTTTTGGGAGCTGATCTGCATATTTTGTTCCCAGCTCCTATGAATCCTTGCATCATGGAGAACACGACAGCACTGGGACTGCTGCAACATACTAGATATAAGTAAATTTATTACTTTAAGCCTTGTGCTCTAAATACCAAATATTGTTGAAAATTGTTCCTAGGAGTTCACACATTAATAGATTTTTATATCATTCTTTTTTTAATCCTTATATACAAGGTAAGATCTGACTTTATTTTGTAAAATCTGGTTCTTAGCACTTTGTGCAGCATCATCTATTTAAAGTAAAACAAAACAAAATAATAATTCTGTTTTGAATTAAGGGGTTTCTTTTTCAGTATGTTAGTGTAAAGCTTTGACTTACTGGGGTAAGAATGTTTAATAGGTTATCTGTCATGGCTCAATATCTCTCTGTAACCCAGTGCTGTGAGTATATTACATGTCTGTCTCTAGTAACTTCTGAATCCCTTGAATAACTACTCCCAGTTTTGTCTTGAGGAATACAGGTCTTAAAGGTGAAATTCTTATATGTTTCTCAAAGGTAGATCCCCAGTCAGACAAAGGTCCCCAGGGGTATGTCAGAGAGCAGTTTTACCTTGCACACATGTATTTGTATGCATGCAGATGCGGTGCTGCATACACACACAAAATTCTACATAGAGGGAGGCTGTGTGCTCCATCACGTGTATCAAAGCATGATGGAGTGGTTGATGGGAAACCAGACTGTACCAGCTGTGTCATAGTTTAACTTGTCAAAAGCCATCCTGTTAAGTGTCTCCGGGAAGCATTGCAGACAAAAAGAAACAGAACAGTCAAAATATAATTTTGCCATGGACTTGACTTACCTAGCAGTTGTAATTTGTATAACTGAAGATAAGACATACTATAAAGCCAGCTCGTGGGTGCTGTATTAGACTTTCAACATCCATCTTGGTTTCATCCTGATTTAATTTTCTTCTGGAATCTCTGGTGGTCTTTCTGTTGGGATCAAGAGTGAGGAAAACAAAATAAATTGTTTCACCTTACTGCTTTTTCTCCCCTACCTATAGACTGTCATTGGTTGTGTTCAAATGCCAGTGCTTCAGAAGTAGAAAGTGGCACAGTTGTATTTTTTTATTTTTGGGGGGAAGAAGTAGTAATTGTCAAAATAGAATTTTTTAGGGGGTGGAGTAGGGGGGTGGGAAAAAGAGGGATAGGATTTTTGCTTTAATATCAAAAGCATATATCCTTTTGGGAAGAAATGTCCCTGTTCTTACAGACAGTTACCTGGCTTTGTTCTTGCGTGCAATCTAAAATAAAAAGCACTTTTGCAAGGCCTTGGGGGAATAATAGCTTTGGAAGAGGGAAGGAGGAACAGAAAATGGGAATCTTAACACCTCCTTGCAGAGTTGGGTTGGTAGCAAAGAGAGGTAGTATCACTAAATGGCCTGCCTTTTTTAGTCAGCAGAGGTCTTACTCACAAGACCTGGTGTCATCAGCAGGTGGTAAAATACTGTGGTTATTATGAAGTATCTGAAGCACGTACATTTAAGGAGTCTTAAGGGAGTCATTGAAAACAGATTGCAGGTGGATTGTGTTAAAATAGATTTTTTGTAACGTCTTCAGCTGATGTGATGATTCTTTGTAATAGTGAAGCTACTTGATGTGCAATATTGGTGTTGTCCAGTCCTTCCAGTCATCTTTGATTTAGAAGGGACTCTGCCGGGGGGAGAAAAACTTCAATTTGGAGGGTAAAATACCTAACCCCAGTTGCTTCTAGAGTATCGAGCACTGACACGGTTCACCTGCATGCTTTCAAACCTGAAACGGCAGGAACATGGCTTGGAGGAGATTTCATAGTTTATCTACACACAGACATTAATCAGCTAAGCTGTGTGTGGGATAGACATTTCCAAAGTGGATTAAGCTATACCACAGGGAGATACTTAAATTCTGAATAAAACCTCTCCACAATTAGAAATTGTGCAAAATTAATAGAGCCGCTATGAATTCCTTCCCTTGACAGAAACAGGTTTGTCCTAAATTTTTCTCCATCCCTCTCATCAATGGTGAGGGGTCAGGTGATGGCAATTTTACAGACTTACTCTGAGGAGGATATTCAATTCGTAAACTACAGTGCACAGAAAATAAAGCAATGTGAAGGGAGGGCTGAGCTAATGTGGGGACTCCGGGGAGCTCTGTATAAGGTCTTCCATGGGCAAGCCATTCAGTTTGTTCCATCCTGTAGCCTTCACAGTGACAGTTGGACAATGGCACTTTCCCCATCTTACTAGGTGCTTGGACATTAATTGGAATATGTAATGGGTAAATCATATGGATACAGATTCCACAGTGTCAGTCAAGCTGCTTCATCTGTCATTGTTCTATAAAACAGGAAGACTTCTTGTGCAGTCCTTTCTTCAGTGTGTCTTCTTTCATTGGGAATCAGATTGTGGAGTAACCAAAGTCTTCTCTCTCCCATGTATGGTTAAGATAACATCTCTTGCTGATTAGAGACTGGAGAACCCATGCTGCGAAAGAAAATGGGCTTTTTTTCTTCTAGTATTTTTTTTTTTCCTGGCACAGTCATATATAAACAGTTTTCTAACTGAGAAGATAGGAAGTAATTAGGGAAAAATCTCTGCTTTTAACAAACCATTCACAAACTACTTCCCTTTGAACTTTAGGTGGAGTAACAACTCCATGTCTGCATGTGGGTATAGAGGTGCCCACTTATCTTGCCTTTACTTGTGACAGGGGCACTGTGTCCCCAGGACAGGGACAGAGCCTATTTTCCAGTAAATACTGGATTGTTTTTTTCCCCATATCTGGTGATGTCAACTGTATTCATTCAGTCCAGTCAGCTGTCTGTCACCTTGCTAATGCTGTGCCATTGTTAGCTGACAGACCAGGGAGAGACTTCTGGCGAAAACACAACTCATCTAATAGCACTGTCTATACCCTGAGGTAGGCAGCTTCCTTTTCAGCTTAAAGTTGCTCTTTTTTTCACTTGGCTGTCCCTGCTCGGAGCCATTCTTGTGTGGATAACTTCTTCACTTTTGATGCTTAGGTCTGAACATGCAGTGTCTGACTCGGATACGAAGTTTTCTGACCCAGCAGAGGTGAAGGGGAGATGGTTGGTGCTGTAATGATTATCTGATTCATTCACCAACCTCAAGCGTGTATGGCAGGTAGCTCTTTCTTTAAATGAGCAATTCAGCTGTGGTCTTGGACCAGGTTCTGCCAAGGCAGTATTACTCTGGAAGTTAATTACGTTTCTTTTCCAAGGGAAATCACAGCAGCAAACCTTGGGATAAGAAATGAGATGATTTTAAAAAATAATTGCATGGTAGAAAACTGGATATCACAAGAGCTTTACTTGTTGAAATCCTGAATGAGGAAAAAAAATGTGGTTATGTAGTTTTTAGGTGTTTTATCTGGTTAGTCCACACAATTTACTAAAACTTGTAGGTGGTATCTTTTCAAAGATACTGGGCTATACTGCATTTATCTTTTCCAAGTTGCA